CCCCCTCCGCTCAAAACCCTGGAGCTGAAGTACCGCCCCTTGTCAGTTGTTCACGGTTCCTTATTCATCATACCCACATCAAACAATTCCCTGTCCGCCATTTCGCAACACGAAGAGGCCGCCATTTTGTAGAGACAGGTGACGCACCTGATACGGCATTTGTTTCACAACTTCGCAACTCAGAAAACAGATGTCACCTCTTTACACTCCCAATCGCTTCCTTATTAAGGGCTATATTGTGGTAACTTTAACACGGCCATTTATATTTTTTCCAGCCAAGCAGGCGAAATATCTTGGCAAGAAACATCACATTCACATTCTACCTTGTGGACGAATCAACATATGCGTTCTCAACAGCGCCAACCTGGACAGAGTTTCGAAAGCAATTCACGACTGCGTAACCAACATAACCGCATGTAATTGCTTGAAATAGGAACAGGGTAATGGTAACTATACTTACCACCTGATGAACACCTTTCCACGCATCTGTTATGGGCTTTATTTCATTCTCAGGAGAGAAAAAAAAACTGTGAACGTTCTCAGACATAAATGTTCTCTGGAGGATTAATGTTTCTAGTCTCTCAACTAATAATAATAATAATACAATAATATAGTAACAATAAAAATAACATAACAGTAATAATGTAGTCGGAAATCCCAAAGGAAACAGAATCTGGGAGACGCAGGAGTAGATGCGAGGATATTATTAAAATGGATCTTAAGGGAAAATGTTGGGAGGATGAAGACTGGATCGACTTGTTTATGAAAGTTTTGAAGACTTAGCACGATACGTAAAAATCTCATGTAATCTGATTTATAACATGACGACACTGCAAATTACGACGCAAATTAAGGAATTAAGGCAATTTCATTGAGTGTTAATTAAATATTTTGTTTTGCTGCGAATTATCGATGTCTCAGGCAAAGTTAAAATGTCACGGTCTTATCACAGATCAAATGCTAACTAAAACAACCAAATCGAAATGAATGAAATGTCGTAGTTCTCTTATACGCTGTAGTGATGAGAGCTGTAAACTTCAAATGCAAATGTCCATAACTTAACCTCACATTACTGACAAGAACCGATCCGGCACGCGTCGATTTAAATTATAGTTGAAGATTTGTGTCTTCTGGGTTGTTGTAACCTCAAATATTACGTATATTATGGTTACATAAGGTAAAATTAACCTAATTAATTTCGTATATAGCTCTAAGAAAAAAACTACACCTCATTACAGAATGTTATGTCTTATGTAATTACCGGTATTAAAATAAAAATTATTACAATTTGTGTATTATTTAGCGAAAAAATTGTCTGAAAATCGACTACCTCCTAATTCGGTACGTAGGGGGTGTGGCTTTGTACGTGCAAAATAAATTGTACGAGGGGAATGTGGCGACAAAGTAATTAAGTACGTATTCCCATTTTATTTAGTTAGTGTTCTGTCTGAGGACAGGTCCATATGAACAGGATCCTTCCATCCTTTTCTCGGACTGGGACCTGTTCATATACGTTCTTGGCAGATGATCCAGAAGTGGTTTGCCATTGCCTTCTTCTGTGTGTGAATGGAGTAATTGTTGCGATGCCACGGAGGAAAACTCCGTGTTGCCTAGACCACGGCCTTGCCCAACACAAATTATAAATTCGGGCACCGCCGGGAATCGAACCCGAGACCCCAGGATTACAAGGCCAGCGTTCTAACCGCTAGACCACAGTGAGAAAAATTTATATCTCCGATTGGCCATCATATCTTGTCAGACCAAAAAATACTCCTGTTACATTTGTGTCTGACAGTGAACTACATTCAGGAGAACCTCTTATCACAAGCCGTCCCTTATCTAGACTGACCTACAGAGATGTTTCGAACCACGCCAAGATCTCGGCAACTATTATTTTCCCTTCCGTTGCGACACGAAAGTTCTAAATCACGCCTCTGCACAGGGGTTCTCAACAAGCGGCCCGACGATGTGCTCTGTGCGGCCCGCGTACATTTTTAATCATAATTTTGTCACAGCATACGAAAAAAAAAAGTTATCTGACGCAAGTCTTGTCGATGCCGTCAGAAATTTTCAATAAATGTCGCTACTGAGATTAATAACGTCGTATCGATTTAAAAAAAAACACTTGAAGGGATAAATACGAATAGCACAGGCAGACAAACTTTGAACTGAAACATTTCTGAACTAAAAAAAAAAAAAGTGTCATATCTCAGTAATGACTGATTTTGCTACAAAAAAATTCTTGAGTAACATCTGATCCTGTTTGCATCAGCACGTGTAACAAACTACCATGGTCATTCACGACTTTGCAGCCCGCCAATCGAACGAGGTGAACGTGACCCCAGGTCTGGAAAAGCCTGGGACACCCTGCCTTAATACATAAAAATATATAAATACGTTTCAAAACTGAAAATGTGTTCGCTTTCAACTCGAGAACAGATTTATCGATTTTGCACCAAACATGGCATGCTTTTTCCGTGAAACCAGCCAACAGTTTCTTCGAAAGTTATAACTCCGAAAAAAGTGTCCTGGGTTCGAAACCCACTGAAGGTGGTTTCCGTATCTTTAAAAATTAAGTATAAAGTCCTTTGTTTCGATAAGGACATTCCAGAAACTAAGGATACCCCGAAAACTACCCTCGTTTCGAGACTCTGTGATTATTCAACGACGCTGACCCACACCTAACTTCAAACGGGTTTCAGTTCGCGGTGTCATTGGGTCTCTTGGCTTCGTCAGAAACAGAATACCAGAATATTTTTACCCATAACACAAGTTAAACCACACAAACACAATCATGCATTGATTTCCCTCTTTAACATCAGCGAAATATCAGAAAATCCTTCATATAACGTAAAACCGGCCATAAAACCAATTACATAACAAAACCCAATAGCAACCTTATTATTATACGATACCCGCTAAAAATAGAGACAGCACGTTCCTCAACTCCTACTTCGCATTTGGTTAAAATCTAGGCTCTGAGGCCGGCTATCCTGACTGCGTTCTTTCTCGTGGTTTTCCTCGGTCCCTCCTGGGAAATTCCGGGACAGCATATTAAAGCAGGCCACGACCGCTTCCTTCCACATCCTTTCCAATTCATTATCATCCTGTCATTCGACGGTATATAGTCTGAGCTGCTGGAAAGTGTCCCCGTTCAATCAACGGGCCTTTACCAAGACGAAGCGAACGAGAAGTTGTTCTGGTGCTTAAGTAAGTAACAGGTTGAGCAGACTTCGTTCCGGCTACTTTGTCCCCCGAGGAGATAACCACGATGCCCAGCGAGTCAACAGAAAGCTGGTTTGACCCCAGAACCAGTCTAGACGGCGAGGCTAATAAAAATATCCAGACAGGCCCATACTTTTAATTCTCGAAACTTTGACTTCTCTAAGAATTTTTTACGCTAAGGACAGGAATTGAAATGTTTTTGTTCTTTAATTGTACGAAAGAAGCTTTTCGGAGCTTCGACATACTTACTTACGTTGGCATTTAAAAAAATAAACAGACTTTCCACAATTTCCGAATTTGTACGACGCACTTTCTTGTACGTATAAAATTACGTATATAACTAAAAATGGCGACGGTCCAAAGTGCGTGGTAGTCTACGATAATCTTCTGTCGGAAATAATTCCCAGAAACAGACCATAAAATTCTCCAATTTCTCAACATCATCCTGTCTCTTATCATGTTAAAATCATTTTAAAGACAGACAGACAGACACATATAATCAGCCCACATTTCGGGTTTAATATACAATTACCAGTCAAGAACGAGGCGAAAATTTACAGTAGTAAAAAACACAGAGACTCAGTCATGAATGTTACTATCTCGTAATAACCAATATCCTGTAACAGCGACTTATCTCTGTAATTCTATTCAAGCGTCACTGCTCGAAGGTCAATTTTAGTTTCGTGTTCCGATAAGTCGAGTGTAGGTTTTGAGTTCGTCGAGACGTTGACATAGAACGAGTGGAGATCCGTTTCCGGATGGTTCACGTTTTGTTAATAAACAATTAATTTGTTCTACAGTTGTTAAATAAAAACGCCATGAAACCCAGGTTTCAATCTGTGCCAGCAGCTGAAAGCATTCCCATCGTGGTTGCCCGGGACTCGTGCGTAGCCGATCTCAACGAGAATAAAGTGGACCTTGTCGTAGGAGGTAAGTTGGGATTATTTTTCTGTAAGAAACATTGACATATTCCCCAATTAAAATCTTGTCTATCTCTAAAAATGCGAATGTAATATTGTGAGTTTTATAACTCGTATTTTTTAAGCATACCGAACAGCTGAGGGGGAACCATGGGTAATGCCATTTGTGAAGAAAATTGAACAGAAAATGGCCAACGATCCCAAATTCAATCATGAATACCTCTGGTTCCTGGGTCAGGATAAATTCAATACATTGGCTCCAAGACTTGTATTAGGCGATCGTAACCCAGCTATTCTGGAGAGGAGGGTAAGTGAATATCAAATCTGCTATCAAGTACTCAATTCAATTGCACACGTATTCGAGAAATGTCAAGGACAGAGATTACGTAGGAGATCTACGCATAAGTGGGTCCAGCTTTCTCAAGAAACACAAATGAGAGTTTCTAAACATGAATTAAAATTTTTCATGAGCTCTTCTAAATACGTAAAAGAAATTGAGACAGAATTCCCCCTTCCCCCCCCCAAAAAAAAGTTTTTTTTTTAAAACCCTTGAGTACTCTTACGCGATCCCTTAAACAAATTTCTAGTTTCATCTGGGATGTTGCAGTGAGCAATCTGGTAGAAGTTTACTGACGTTTCAAAGGTATTTGCTGCACCCATCATCAGGGCGATGAGTAATTTTTGAATACGGAAGCAGGAGGGACCTCTGAAACGTCGGTAAACCTCTACCAGACTACACGACACCAACCTAAAATTTCACCTACGCACTTTTTATCCAAGTGTTTTTTATTATTATAATCTACCGATCATCTAAATCTGTTTTTCCAGGCATTTGGTGTACAGACATTAAGTGGCACGGGTGCTCTACGAATGGGTGCAGAATTCTTAGTACGGCACCTTCACTACAAAACAATCTATATGCCCTCTCCAACATGGGGTTAGTGTTACACATCAACTTCAGTTACCGAATGTGTTCTTTAAGACAGTGGTATCAACCTTTTTTTGTTCGCGTACCCCCAGATATAATTTCTCTTCAACTTTGTACCCCCCAAAGTTGTTGGTGTATAATTCAAGTTATACATAGTATATAATCTACATCTAAAATAAATTAAATAAATTACATTACTGATTATTCAGTGTTTATCATAAAATAATATTTTTTTTTAAAATTTCACGTACCCCCTAAGATGACTTCGCGTACCCCAGGTTGAATACCACTTCTCTAAGATATAATATGATTTTACTCACCCACACTTAATATTAGTCAATTAATCGTCTTAATTTTAATTCTGTTGAAATCACCGTGTATATAAGAGTTCTCTGCAATGCATCGTACCGATGTTTCTGGACCTGTATTCAGTTTTACGTCTTAAATTTCCACAGATAATCATGCCCTGACATTTCACTACAGTGGGTTCAAAGACTTGCATCACTATCGCTACTGGGATCCAGCCAGAAAGGGCGTGAACTTCGATGGGATGCTGGAAGACGTGAGAAAAGCTCCCGAGAACTCTGTGATACTGTTGCATATGGCAGCACACAATCCGACTGGATGCGACCTCACTCGGGAACAGTGGACACTTGTGGCTGATGTTATGGAAGTAAGGCCGGACAAACAGTTCAGAGAATAAAGCCGTAACTTTTATGACTCTCAACCTGTCTCACAGGGTACAGTACAAATATCGGTCTGGAAAATATATTTATTACTAGCACATACAAGCAAATTTATTGAATAAAAATGAAAATTATCGTTCTTCTGTCATATTAAAATGAAAAAAAGGTTATAATCACCCACTCAGTTCCCAGAATTAAAAATTACGGCCAAGGACACAAACTAATTAGTTATTAAATGGAAATTAAGAAGTAATTTGATGTAAACCAAATATTATTCCATTTATGGTAAAATGAAAATAATTGCTCTCCCCAATATCATTCCCTAATATATTCACAGAATCTTTTAATTTTTTTAAAAAAAATTTTTACAGAAAAGAAATCTGTTTCCCTTCATTGATGCGGCGTATCAGGGTTACGCTACCGGAGACCTAGACAGAGACGCCTGGCCGGTTCGGTACCTAGCAGATCGAGGGTTCGAACTTTTTGTATCACAGTCGTTCTCCAAAAACATGGCTCTTTATGGTGAGTACATTCGAAAATTTTGTTTTCAGACACACCCTTCACATATCATATGTAAGTAAAAATAAGATTTAAGGAAGATTAATTGAAAATTTATACGTGTACGCAAATTTTATGGAAATGGGAGTGACAGATGATAGTAACATTTAAAGCAAACTGTCGATGATCGACGTGATTTCAGTCGAGGCGGGAATTCAGTAGCAGATATTGGATGTGTTTTTGTATCTTAGGGGGATGCAGTCTAAGATTACGGAAATTAATATATCTGGTCCATCTCTGGCACTTACACATCCATGAACATATTGGCCAAGACCAATTTCTGAGTCGCACTTACTGAATGATCTTTCAGACGGAACTTAGAGAAACAGGTCACGGAAGACGTGAACTGGTTATAACTGAGTGACGATATGCTCCAGACATCTTCCTTTATTTAGTGGTGGACTGATAAAGAAAAACTGATACTCTTTGCAGGTGAGAGGATAGGCTGTCTTACTGTGGTGCTCGCGAAAGGAAGATCAGAGGACGCCACAAATATATTGTCACAACTGACGCTGATTGCCAGGGCCACGTACATCAGTCCCCCAAAATACGGGGCGGAAATTGTAACTGCTGTCCTGAGCGATCCTGAGCTAATGGAAGAATGGTGAGTATCTGACGCCAAAGCGCAAACAATGTAATAGAGTCTGGAGGCCGAAGATATAGGCTTTTCTCCTTGTTACCTGAAGATGAAAGCAGAAGATTCCATGACATTGCAGTTAAGATGAACATTTTTACAAGTTATCAATCATAATTAACAGACGTTCACGATGTTAGGTGCACCCTGATAGGAGCTTAACGGGTGACAGTCCTCTGTTTATTTACTTATATTTCAGGAAGAAATGTCTCAGAGTTATGGTTGATCGCGTTCTATCAATGAGAAGTGGTCTCAGAGAGAGACTAGAGAAGATGGAGACCCCAGGAGACTGGGAGTACATCACAAATCAGATAGGAATGTTCTCGTTCCTAGGATTAACACGTAAGTTCACAATAAAACGTTCACGAGTCTGTTATATCTATGAATAGTGATCACGAAATGATAATAATTAATGAAATAATTAGAAAATGGTAATCATAATTTGTTATTTTACGTACTGATAAAACATTTCCGCAACTTCTATGGAACCCAAAGGTTCATTACCATATACATTTCCGCAACTTTTATGGAACCCAAACGTTCATTACCATATTCACATGAGGTCAATCGATCCTGAGCCAGATTAACACGATCTATGCCCCAAAATCCTATTTATCTAAGATCTATTTCAAGATTATCCACCAATCACTTCAGGTTCCCCAACCTAGAACTGTGTACAAATCTCTCGCCTAACTTCATATGAATGGGTAAACTCAGCAAAGGTATGAGTCTGACTGCGCTGACCTCTGTCGAGTCTCGAGAGAATAACTCTTTACTTCTGCGTCTCCTGTACTGCCATCTCTGGCGCGATGGCCGTACTAACACTGGGTAACTTCGCCGTTTCACTGTTTCAGCTCGTCAAGTGGAGTACATAAGGATAAAGCATCACGTCCACATGCTGTCAAATGGTCGTGCCAACATGTGCGGTCTCAACGATAAGAATATCGATAAAGTGGCAGAGGCTATACATGACACAGTGACCAAGGTTCACGATTAAATGTCTTCGTTCATTATTTCATATGTACAAAGTAAAACTACAAATCTTTTTCTAAATTTTTGGATATGCCATTAACAATTGTGAAACACACTATACAAGAGTTTTGTATATTTGAAGTTATTACTGTCAATCCCATTTTGATTTCTTTTGAACAAATGATTCTTCGCCTTCCTTGTCGACAGCTGCGTAATACCCCATGTTTTCATACTTTGTTCTCATGTAAGCGATGTAACCAACACAAATTCCCATCGCGGCTAAACCGATTGTCATTATTACCGCATTCTGAAACAAACGGAATAAATATTGCAATATATTTGTTATTAATAATTCCTGCGTGCAAAGAAATGTGCCATTGATCTGATGTTAGACGGACAAAGGACATAGAAGATGCTTCCTACATTTATTTTAATAAGAAACAAACATGTAAAATATCACACACAAAACAAACTTGTTTATAAACATTAAGAATGAAATAAACATATTTTAAAACAATTGTCTTTGGGCTGATTTCCTAAAAGATTCAATTTCTTAGTTTTGTTGAATATCTCAATTAGATTTGTAGCTTTAGGAAACATGGATAATTTTCATGGACTTCAGTAGAGTTTAGAAAAGTATTAGGGACAATATTAAAACATCAGCCAAAAAGGATCTAGATCATTACAAGTTTAAACAGCATAAATAACAATCTGATCAAAATGATTATATCACTGTAATGGTTGCTGAATCCAAGCCAAATAAATGCAGATCTTCTGAACAATGTAAGACATCAACCTAGTGGAACTGTCACCAGATATTGCCAGCAAAATATATTAAAGAATTAAAAATGCACAAAGTGCATTCTATATTTTGATTTGATAACTTTACAGAAAGTGGGAGAATGTTTATTAATCAAGCCATAATGTTACATGGAACGTGTATGTGAATCACCACTCATTCATAACCACAGTGCAGTTTGAGTTGAGTTCATGCTTCTTAATTAGGCTGTTTTATCCCTAGCGGGGCAGATATTGGTACCCATTTGGCAGGAGATGGAATGGACCTCTAAAGAAAAGAAATCGCTGTCTGTACCAGGGACTGAACCTCTGTAGACCAATCAAATCAGCTTAAAGGCCGTCCTATCCCAGCTCCTAACCTAATTCAATTACTCAGAAAATTCTGTTTCTTCACATATTTCTTTGAAGGTGCTCAAATTAAACTGTAGTAAACAATAAAACTGAAAAACTGGTTACGTCATTTATTTACACAACTGAAACTAACAACAACAAAAATGTTTCAATTACTCGGCTTTTGAGGTTATACTTACAGGTCGTGCATAAAGTTCGAAGTTAACTGCTCGAAAAATTCCAGTTGACCTTAGGGACCTCAAGCCATCTCCCGGAGCAGGGGCCTTCTTGTCGGACATGAGAGCAATTGCCGACGATTAATACAATATTTGTTGACCAATTGATGTAAATAAATTCATTCCACGTTTCGATCAACAGATTTAGCTCACAGCTTACAGTTCATCTATGATTTCGTTGGTACCACTGTTTATATCGAAGGTTATCTCGAAACACGTAGTTTAGACTTATAGTTCTACCATTTGCTAATAGATGGCAGGCATGTACATTATTGCGATTCGTTATAATAAGTATTGACATTACGTATTTGCAATGTTCTTATTAAGAGAAGCTTATGATCTCAAAGTTTCGCGTTTGATTTATGCTCTACAGCTGAGCGTCTGAGCTAAAGCTCCATTCTACAGTAAATAAAGAACCGTAAAATAATTGAATAACGAAGCCAATTAAAATTTACAAAGACATAATTACAACAAAATATAATATACAAATTTACTGCAATTAAATATGAGTAAAATAATCTTTTAAAGGCTACTTATATTAATAAAAGTTATATTTGTACCTTGCTCGTATTGGAAAAAAAAAAATAATCCAATTGAGCTCATACCAGACCCAATCAAACGCAAGGATTGTGTGAGCGTTTCAGAACAGCGAAAAAAAAAATTATGTCCCCGGGTTTCGGGGCCGTATACATTCGTAGATAGATACCAAAGTTTCGGAGGAACATACTGTCTCCATCCTCAGAGCTGAAGTGGCGATGCAGGGAAGTGGAAGGTTTAAACTACTTGTCTACACGGCGTCAAGGCTCAGAAGATTAACTTCACCCTCGACGCCGTGAAAATCTCATGGTTTCCAAAGCTCCGACCGATTTACCCCTGAGACATACCCGCTGGATACGAAAGTGTCTGAATTCCAGCGTGTCTTGAAAATGGTGACGAAAGAGACAGTTCAATGAATCTGCCGGAAATATAACGTCGTTCTTACAGTCCAAAGTAAGTCCCTTTTACAGACTGAGATACCAGAACGTCGACCCTTCTTCTGATTCATGGCTGCGAGAGACAGCTGTCTAACCTTCCAAACATATGGAAATATTTGTTATTGCTATCATGACGAGATCCACACTGGTCGATGACAAGACATAATTTTTTTTCCCTGACGTGGTGGAATGGGCTGTTTGTTTGTTTGTTTGTTTGTCTGTTTGTTTGTTTGTTTGTCGTCAGTCTTTCGACTGGTTTGA